CTACGCCAGCAGGTTGTCAATCTTCCTCAACGTGGTGGGCCTGGCTCCAGGCTTCGCTATCTGTGGGGCCGTGGAGTCAAGGCGTCCGACGGTCGACTTCGCTCGATTGTTCCAGCTATGGAGCGCGCCATTGGTGTTCCTCAGCGAGCGCCATTTGACGGTCGGGGAGAGTTCGAGCGCGAATTCTTGAAGGAGCTCGAGGACATGGGCTGCCGCGCCGCTCCATGACCACCGCGGCGGCTGCGCCACAGCAGGGCGCCACCGTGGAGAGGCGCGGAGTCCTGTGGAAGGTCCATGCCAGGGAGCTCTGATCAACCAGTTCAGCATCATGTCCGACCAGTCCGTGAACGCCCGCGAGAACAAGTGGTTGCTCGAAGCCGCGTGCTGGGCCATGAACAGCTCAGTCAATGCCAGCGGGTATTTGCCAGCCCGGTGGTTCCTCGGACGTGGACTGCGACTGCCCTGCCGCCTGCTGGACAACGCCGGGCGCCTTTCCATACTTGGGCGCTCGGTGCCCGACAAACAGTTTCCCGAAAGGACATTGACAATGGAGGCCGCCCAGGGCTACATCCAGCATCTGAGATCAAACCAGTCTCTCTCTCGTGCACTGATTGCCCAGTCGAGGGCAGATGGCGCCTAGCCGGCATCGGACTTTTCCCGGGCCGTCGACCAAGTGCACAACTGGAGAGGGAACGGGAAGTCCAACCAAGACTGGGCTCTGCAGTGGCATGGCCCTGGAGTCATCATCGGGTTCGAGGGGCCTCAACTGTAAGGGTCAGCCGCAAGTCGACGACAATGCAGCTCAACCGCGGCCATCCCCGACACGCGACAGCCGCGGGGCTCGCCCGGCGGGGACAAGTGATGTCAGCACTCAGACCTGACAGCGCGCCCGCTGAGGGCCGGCCGCCAGCGCTGCCAAACGGGTCCGCATCAGACCCGCCATGCGATCCACCGTCCGCCGATCCCCCTCCAGGCCTTGGAGGAGGTGGAGGGCGGCGCGGGCGCTCGGCGAGACGCGCCTGGGGACGGGACTTCATGGACTTAGCGGGCCCAGTTGCGAAGCGATCGCGCCCCGACGAAGGGGGCGCCCGCCGCGCCGCAAGCACCTCCTGCCATCGTCTCCCACAGTTTCGGCGACATAGGGGACGCGTCCCACAATGGATATGCGCGCGAGTTCGCCGACTGGATGAAACGATGCCGACGAGATGGCGAATGTGCGACGAGTGGGCGAGCTGCTGGCAGCGGGTCGGCACCGCGCCACGGCAGCGCCCGCGCGGCCGCCAGCGTTGGCAGCGCCCGTTCTCCACGAGTGCGATTCGGGCGCCGAGGCGCAACTGGCTGAATCGCCGCAGCGCCACCGCCGCATGCCCGACCTGAACCGGAACAGCTTCAGCCACCCGAGGAAGCACCTGCAGCACCTGCTCGCCATGCCGCGGCAGAAGCAGATGTGCGGTTTGACGCTTCATCCCAGATGCCCCTGGAATAAGGGAGGTTCGCGGAGGAGATTTACGCCGCCGAGAAGCTGCCGCTCGGACAACTCTAGCCGCAGACGAGCAACGAGCAGCCAAGGCACAGCGCCAAAATACATTCAGGCAACCGACTCTCTCCAGCGCGATCGCCTCGACCAGCTGGCCATGAGGAAGTGCCTGCTCGACGGCCTGCCGCGCGGGTTCAGGTGGCCGACGGTGGGCCAGCTGAGGCGTCGAGCCGCCAGCGCGCGCTCGGGCGACTGCTTCGGCGTAGTCCAGGCCCAAGTGGACATCGATTGCCCGGCGAGGCGAGCTTCGCCGCTCGCCGCGCCGCCGTCGCCATTGCGGCTGGCGCCAAGACGCTCGACGGTGCCGTCGCCTGCGTGCTCTCGGCGGTCAGCTTCGCCATTGCGAGAAAACGCAACCTGGTGGACTTCGGGGCCCGTTCCACCGCGTGCTTCGGCGACGCGGCTTTCGCAAACATGGGCGGCGCCCAGAGCCGGTAGGGCATGCCGACGGGCCTCGCTCGCCGACCTCGGGACGCGGCGGGTGGCCGCTGCGACCTCTGCCTGTCCGCGGCGTGACATTCAGGAGCAGTCTCGAGGTCCGCGCAGTCGACCCTGGCCGCTAGAGGCCACGGAACGTTGGAAGACGCGGAGATCAACGGGTGGTTTTGCGAGCTGCTTGCCGAGGCCTACAACCCCAAGAAGCCGCTGAAGGATATCGACATTTTCAGCGAGAAGCTCCCTGGCGAGATCTACATCGACAGCACGGGCGCTCGCATCCAGTCCGACGTGGGCCAGTCCTCGGACAAAAAGGGTTCAGGATCGTTGCCTCAATCATCAAGGAGGCCGCGCGCCCGAAAGGCGCCCTGCGCCTCGCGTGGATTCCGACCTGGGCCATGGTCGCGGACGCGATCACCAAGGCGATGGAGGCCATAGTGCTGCATCATTTTTCGGGGCTCGCTAGAGCAGCTACGGGGCCCGCTGGCCGCGCGCTGCAATGCTCGCGGCTGCGCTGATGGCCTGCGTCGGACTTGCCGGGACTTGCTGGACTGCGCGGAATTCCAGGGGCTTCTGATTATGCCCCAACTTGGCCTCATCATTTGCATGGGCGCGCTCGCCGCCGTCACCCGCGTTCGGCGGGCCAACGGCCGCCCGCCGCGCTGCCCGAGCATCGCGAACCCTGCGCGCGAGGGCAAGTCCCAGGATTGCGGGCTCAACGGCCCCCCTCCCGGCTGGGTTGGGGGGTATCCGGGCATCAACCGCGCGGGGGTCGCACGCTTGTCTTCGGCGACGGCGTGCCCAAGTAGGTCGATGCAAAGCCCGGCACCAGAATACCACGGCATAACGGCAGCGTCGTCGATAGCGGCATTACCCAGCGTCCGCTGGGCGGGGCCGCCCATCAACTCCAGCATCGGCAGCGGCGTCGACGCCGCTGACAGCGTCGAGTGTCTCGTCAGCTTCGGCCGCGCCCTGGAGCGGCTCGACCCCTGCGGCGCGGGGGGGCGAGATCAACGCGCGTGCCATCGACGGCTGCGCCGTCGGGGCCGGCCACAAGCGCCGCGGCGTGCACGCCGCTTGCAGGGCGCGCCAGAAACGCGCATCCTGGCTCAGGCGAAACGGCAAGGCAGATTTCAGCAACATCCATTAAACGCTGCGCTGGTGCGCCGAGAACAATCGGATAGTCACCGACAACCAGCTGATCGCAAGGCCCGACGCCGAGCCGAGCTTGCAGGACAAGACGAAACGCAAGCGCAAGGGAACGTGAGTCCAGATTACAGTGTTATCTATACCAGACCAGGCATCTTCTCCACGTGCTTAAGTCCGCATTGAAGAGCGTTCCACGCCCAGAATTGCTGCGCTCATGTCCGCATCGCCAGTTGCTGCAATCGTTTGAAGTGCACACTGCTACTCTTCAGAGGAGGTGACGATCGCCTACTTTGCTTAGGCACTATCACCCATAAATCGAGGCCAAGAGCCCGCCTCAGGATTTGACCCACAGGGTTGTGCAGCACATCCAGCGATTGCCAGAGCCACCCCCCGTTGCAAGCCGAGATAGGTCGTTTGCCTGCACCCCATTTCGCTTTCATGAAGTTAGCGCCATCGACAGAACTATATGTACCCAGAGCGCCCGCAGCGCCGCGCAGAGGGAGCGCGATTCCTGCCAATTCCCTGCTGCCAGCTATGCCTGACCCCCGCTTCTCGCTGCCATCTTTGCCCAGACCATTTTACGGCCCTTGGTTTTAGAGGTACGACTGATAATATCAAAGACAGTTACTCAGAGGGACAATCCGCTCCTGGGTCAGAGCTTCGAGGACGCGCGCCTCCCCCCCTTCGCCTTCGGCCTCGCGTCGCCGGGGGGCTTGGTAACACTTGAGCTCGAGGTTCCCGCGGATGTCTCCGCAACCACGACATAAAGCAGTTCAATGGGTCGCAGCGACTCTGTTCCGAAATATACCATCGATGTAGATGTTGCGTGCATCGGTGCGCTGAGCAAGACGACGACTGGAGGCAGTGCGCCGTCGAGAAGTGCCTTTGGATGTTGCGCGGCGCAAGCGGTAAGCACCCTGCGAATGGGAACTTCACGCGGCCAGCACTCGACATCTACGGCGCTGCTGTTACGAGCAGTATTTGCGCGATGTTCGGCGGCTGCCCGACGCCACCAGGCGGTCTCCGCGATGACGGGCCGAGACTGCACTGCTCTCTGAGTCGTAGATGGGATGCGTCTCCTTGCTTGCCCAAAACGGCCAAACACCTCCCGTCCTGGTTGTGTCCACGACGCCAACGTGTCTGGGGCGCGGATCTGGATCGGGCGGCTTAAAAGTGGGGAGTGGCTTAAATCTGGGGCGAAGAACGGGGCCCCTATTGGATTCAACATGTGCCTCAAAAGGGTTTTTGAGGGCCCCTCTCTTCACTACCCCCTCACAGTCAGACTTGACTAGGCAGGACACCGGACACGGCACAACAACCATTCCGACTGCAGCGTGGCCCCAGAGCACCAACAGGGAACACCAGAGGGCCTGCGGGCTGCAAATGCCGGGAAAGACGGGACACAGGAGCAGTGTCGACTGAGCATGGCCAGCCTACAGTCGGGGCGCTGAAGAAGGAACCCGTTTCATTGAGGAAGGGCTCCGTGCTCCTTAATTGTTTCGCAGCTTGTCTTAGGTTATCCTGAGGTTTTCGATACGAAATCGAAGTTCAACTTATGGAAAATATAGGGGCCTCGTTCCTTATTTGGGGTTCCTTAGGTCAACGCCCCGACAGCACCAAGCAGGGCCGACTGCAGGCCACCCCCTTCGGCACCCGCCCGAAGGGATGCGTTCGCCGCCCGCTCCCCTGCAGGACTCCGCTTCTCCCAAGTGACAGGACGGCTGCGGCGAGCGAGGAGGTGGTGGTGGGCGAGCGCCCGGACGATCTCGCCTCCTCCTCCCTCCTCCTCCCTCCTCCGCAGTCCTCCCTCCTCCTTCTTCCTCCTGATTCGTCGCAGGCCTCCCGCTGCCGCCCGCTCCCCCCCCCCTCCCTCTTGCAGGCTCCAGCGGCGGGCCGCCCGCGGCGGCCGCTGCGCGGACGCCTGGGCCGCGTCTGCCGAGGCGGCCGCGCCGGGGTGCGGCGCGGGCGCCAGGAGTCCTTCTCCTCCTCCGCCTCCTCCTCCTCTCCTCCTCCTCCTCCTCCTCCTCCTCCTCCTCCTCCTCCTCGCTCCTCCTCCTCCTCGCTCCTGCTCCTCCTCCTCTCCCTCCTCCCCCTCCTCAGGTGCCCCCAACGCTTCGCGCCACCGCGGAGCCCCATTGGGGCCCTCGGCGCCTCGTGCCGGGCCGCTCCATGGAGGCCTCGGGGTCCCTCCGGGAGCTCCATCAACGGCACCGCAACGGGTACTTACTAACGGGTGCTTTGAATGTTTGCCGAAAGTTACCGCTTGAGGGCCTTTTTCTGGCATGGCAGCTTTGTCCACATCGGGAAGGGTTGGGTTCGCTGGGTCACTGGCCAGAGTGCCCGTTAGTGGAGTCCCCGTGTGAGGGGCGCTGACAGGAGTCGGTCTGTTACCAGCCTCGAACGTATCCCTATCCCTCAGATGGACACGCCAAAGGGCGATGACAATCTCAGGGATGCGCCCTCGAAAAATAAGGGAGTCCCTGAGATTGGCATCGTGATGAGGAGGTGCCCAGCATAGGGATAGGGGTATGTTCCAGGCTGGTAAGTCTGGGCTCACGCTGGGGGGGGGCGGATTTCCTCCGGCTCGAGTTCCCACCGGTTCGGCTTCTCCCGCCTCGGCCGCCGATTTCCGCCGATCCGGCGCATTTCGACCGTGCTGACTCGTGCTTCAGTAGCCTTTGCCCGATCCCCATCCACATCCCCATCCCCATCCTGGTCCCCATGCCCATCCCCATCCCCATCATCACACCACCCTAGTTGGGAACATACCCCTCGAAACCCGAAGGAAACAGCCTATATCGCCGTCTGGGGGTAAAAATGGCCTGTGGGGCCCAAGCCACGCCGATGGGGTAGGGATCAGCTAAGCGATGTTCATTCAGTGCTGGAGCCGACTGGGGGTCTGAGGTGGCCCAGCGTTGGTTTTGGCAAGCAGAGGAAGGAGGGTCAGCGCTAGTTCGTGGCTCTAGGTTCGGGACCTCTTTTTGTTGCCCGTGTTCGACCTCTGGGGACAGTTTTCGGGTTCGGACGTGATTTATTTTTTCATTTCTCCACAGACATGTATATATATATATGTGTGTATATATGTATGTATGTATGTGTGTATATATCTATATATGTATGTGTGTGTATATATATATATATATATATATATATATCGAGAACGCTGGCGGCGTATCACCGGCCGCTCCCTGGGAGTTTGACGCAGCGTCTCGGGAGCCTCTTGGAGGCAGTTTTGAAGCCTCTTCGGCTCCTCTTAGGGGCCGTTAGGGGGCCTCTTGGGGCTTTTTTGGGGCCTCTGTTGGGCTTATTGGGGGCTTCTTGGGGCCCATCGAATGTTTCTTGGGAGCCTGCTGGCGGGGTCCGAGGTCTCGTTGTGGCGGCAAGCTCGAAGTGTCCTTTAGATTTCCGCCTCTTGGGGCTCTCTTGCGGCACTCTTGGGCCGTATTGGGCTTCTCTTGGGTCGTCTTGGGGTGCCCGTGGGCTGCATATGGGCTTTCTGCGGGATTTTGGGGCCATCTTGGGGTGACCGTGGGGGCCTCTAAGGTCGTCGTGCACGCTCTGAGGGCCGCAAGGCTGATGCACTAAAATTGTACAGTTCCGCATTGGCAAGGGAACGGGATGACTTGTGCTTGTTGGGGCTCTCTTTGTAGGGTTTGACGCCCTCTGAGGGTCTCTTGGGGGTGGCCTGGCCTGGGGCCCCTTTGGGGGCTTCTGGGAGCTCCTTGAGGCCTCCTAGGGGCCTCTCGGGGCCTCCTGGCGGTCCTTGGAGCGGAAGGCTCGAGCTTTCTGTTCGTGGCCCCCCTCCGGGCCCCCCCTTGTGCTCTTCTTGGGGCCCTCTTGGGCCGTCTTGGGCGCCTCTTGGGCCGTCTTGGGGCTCTCTTGGGCTGTCTTGGGGCCCTCTTGGAGGCTTCTTGGGCTGTCTTGGGGCGGTCTTGGAGGCCTCTTGGGCCGTCTTGGAGCGTCGGAAAGCCTAAAAAGTGAAGCTGTGAAAGGGAATGGGGCAATCTTTGCGTCTGGGGACCTTCTTGGGGCGCATCTTGGAGGCCTCTTGGGGCATCTCAGGGGCGTCTTGGGACGTCTGGAGGCCATCCGGAGCGGCTTGGAACGATCTGGAGCCGTCTGGATGCTCTCTAGGGCCGTCGCGGGGCTCTCTTGGGCCGTCTTGGGGCCGCTCGCGGGTCGCCCCCGGGCGTTTGTAGGGTCGTCTTGGGGCCCTTCAGTCGTTGAGCTGGGGGGGGTCAGTGAGGGAACGTCGACAGAGGTTGGGCCCCTGGGAGGGAATTCTGGAGGTTTTGACCAGACCCTGGCGAATCCTGCCAGGCACGCTGACAGAGTGGTCTCGCACGGCCCACACCGCAGGGCGGGAGCGGCCGCAGAAAGACTTCGCCTTCTGCCGCCGGCCCCCCTAATTTTTCCTAGTGCGGGCGGCTGCGCGGGGGTCTTCTTGGGGTCTCTTGGGGGTCTCCCTGGAGCCTCTTAGGGGGCCCCTTGGGGGTTTTCTTGGGGCCTCTTGGGGATTTCCTTAGGGCCTCTTGGAAACAATATGTTGGGTCTCTTGAGGGTCTCCTTGTGTCCTCTGGGGGGCCTCTTGAAGGCTCCTTGGGGCCTCTGGGGACCTTTTTGGGGCCTCCTGGGGCCCTCTCGGGGCGGAAATGTAGAGTTTCCGGTTCGTGGACTCCCTCTTGGGCCTCTCTTGGGGGTGTCTTATGGCCCTTTGGGGCCGGCTGGGGCGCCCCTTGGACCGTCTTGGGGCCCTCTTCGGCCGTCTTGGGGCTGTCTTGGGGGCCTTTGGGGCCGTCATGGGGACTTCTAGGGCCGTCGTGGGGCGATCTTGGGAACCTCTTGGTCCGTTTCGGAGCACGTCGGAAAGCTGACAAGGCGAGAAGGCCAAAAACCTTAAAACACGTCAGGCAAATCATTGATTGTTGCTTCGTGGGGCCATCTTGGGAGGCCTCTTGGAGGCCTCTTGGGCCGTCTTGGGACCATCTTGGGCCGTCTTGGGACCATCGTGGGACATCTTGGGGCCATCTTGGGCCGTCTTGGCCTCTTGAGGCTCTCTTCGGAGCCTCGCCGGGCAATCTTGGAGGCCTCTCGGGCCGCTCTGGCCGCGCGGCGGCGTCGCCGTGAGAATCTTGGGGTGGCCTGGAGCAGCCTGGACTTGAGGTTTACACCCCTCCGTTGGCTGTTTGGTGACGCGGCGGGGCCCCTTAGCAGACAGTAAACAGGAAATAGGAAACAGGATTGGAGAGACAAAAGGCCAACCAACAAATGACAACACATGACACATGACAGCAGTCCGCGCACACCTTCGCAGCCTTGCGCCCCCAGAGGGGACAGGCGCTGAGTGTACCTTCGTCAACTATCTCAGAAGTTCTGGCGCTGCACAGGGATAAATCCGACCCCTTTTACCAGGGCTGCCTGGGTGGCTTGCATTGTCGTTCTGACCTCTTTCCTCTGCTTCGCGCTCGGCTCTTTGAGGGACATTGCCAGCACTGACCTTAATTCTATTACCAGGCACATTACTGATAATTGGAATTCTGATGATTGGAAGTCTATGCTTAACAAAAGGCATTATGCGTACCATTCATTTCTCCTTGCTCAAAAATTGCGCCAGAACGTCGTTGTGCTGATAAGCATGGCGCTGGTCACCTTCGGCATCGTGTCGCTGCCAACTTCGGAGACCACAACGTGTGAGACGGCGATTAGTCGTGAGGCTTCGGCGCAGCAGATGTGGCATTCGACTCCCGTGTGGCTCCTGTTCCTGGTGTCCGTTTTCGGTGGGATTTATGGAGTCGGCCATGCTTGTTACAGCTGGCTGGCGTGGTACAGGTTTCAGCCGGGGAGCGAATTACTTTTTGTCATAGCTAGGCTATCAAACCTACTCGTATGCCTTCTGGAGTTTGCTGGGCTCGTCTTCTTTTACCGCATGATGAGGCAGGAACGCCACCGGGACGAGTTTTGCCACACAGTCACGACAATGAACAAGACGGATTCGGAATACAGCGTTTACTGGTCAGCGGCCCAGAGATCTTCGCGCACGAAGCAAGGGCATTGTGTTTCTTGCTCTTCGGGCTTTGGTTCAGAGCATCTGGTGACCTCGGCTTCAAGTTCGTGTCTTTATTCATGGACTGGAATTTCTTGTTTTACATTAGTCGTTGCGAAGTGAGAGACAATTGGGTTACTATCATTACATGGGTTCTGCAGCTGGTGATTTATTGGGTTCTACCTGCAGTATATTATTTCGCGTTGACGGCGGGTTTGTGTGCACCAGAGTTGAGGCAGGGACCACATGAGTTCTGCAATGGCGGCGCAAATGCAGCGTGGGGCTGCACTGTTTTCAAGGGCGGCGCTGACGCGTTCTGCGAGAAAGCATTTTGACGACGCAATGCATCAGGACAGGTGCTCAAACTGAAGTACCATTCCAAGTACAACATGTTCGGGGGCCGCGCTACGCTCGGCAGGCGCTGCATCTTACGGTTGGCCCTCATCTGGGGGCTGCAGCGTGATGGTTCGTCCCACAGGGTCCCGCTGCATGCCGCCGCCGATCAATTTGAGCCGCTGCAGGAGTGCTAGTTGCCTCTCTTCTCCCCTCTGCTCCCTGTCCATCTCCCTTTTCATCTCTCTCTCTCTCTCTCTCTCCCTCTCTCTCCCTCGCCCTGTGCCTCTGCATAATCGCAGTTACTTTGCCAAGCTTGTATTCAAGACTACAAAAATCAGCCGATCCGCCGAGTAAATTTTGTGCCCGAGCTGGAGTTTCAGCTCTGCTTGGGGGTGGTGCTGGCGTGGCTCTGCCGGGAAATCAGCATTATTGAAAATTGCTACGCGTGGCAATGAGCGGTCTACCCGCCTCAGCAAGCTACGCAGTAAGGTATTGGAGGGGCGGCTGTTGGTCTACCAACGGCTGCCCTCGGCGAGGAATGACCTTCGCCCGCCTCGTGCG